GTATTTATTAATCGAGGCCTAGTTCATTTACGACGAATAGTATAAAACGAACTTCTCCTCTCTGTAATCTTATTTAATACATAATGTACTAGTGCAACTAATCAGTCAAGACAAACTGTACCGTTGACACTACAACTGTTCGGATGCGGTGTTCATTTCTATCTAGGTTGTGAACCACAATTCTTGTTTTGCAGGTAACTAATAGAATGATCTTCGGCTCGCCCGAAGACAACCCATTCTATCTAAGTGCAAACCTTAATCTAATGTGATTCTCATTCATAAAGGGTAAAAGTGTAATATCATCCAAACCCAAGCTTTTAGTATATAACACCAACAACATCCTCCCGCTAGGTCGTTGCGAGTCAGACTTTATCCATTGGCACTCATCGCAGCATGGCACATAGATATGCACATCGCCCTGTTGACCGGGCCAATACAATGTGTTGGTTGGTCTCACCTAGGTCCGGTAGAAACCCGAGTGTCGTCTGATCTTTAAGCTGTGAAAATTCCAAACGAGGTTTGAACGCACCTGACCATTGTCCCGTACATAGACCCGTCCCTAGAATAGTAGGATCCCGCACCACACTGCATCTACGACAACCAACATATCCTTTCACATAGACCGACCACCTGACCGTAAGCTCCTGAGGGCTTTGCTAATGTATGCTAAGGGTTGTCCTTCCTAAGTAAGGACAACCCATTCCCACATCGCTCGCTTCTGTATATACCTCAACAAGACTCTAAAGTTTGCCATTACTAGAATGGGTGTGGTCTTCATTGCGCATTTTAGCTCGTCGAACGCGGTCTCGTCGTCGTTGGTCCATCGGAATCCCACTTTCTTGGTCATCTAATTTAAAGGATTGGCTATGGACCTGTAGTCCTTGACGAACTTCCGATAGTAGCCGGTAGCCTTAGGAACCCGCGCAGCTGTGTCAGACTGGTCGGTTTCGGTCAATATACCATTGTCTCGACCTTTCGAGGGTTGACCTGCACGCCCTCATATGATATAAAATGGCCTAGATATTCGATTTATTTATGGCCAAAAGAAAACTTGGATGGCTTGACGTGAAATGAGTTCTTCATCAGAATTTCTAGGACCATCCTCAGGTGTCATACGTACTTCGCCCAAATTTTGGAAAGATCAAAATATCATCAAAAAATACTAACACAAATTTGCACAAGAACTTATGAAAGATCAAATTCATGGAAAATTGAAAAGTAGATGAGGCGTTGCACAAACCAAATGGCATGACCAAGTATTCATAATGTCCTTGGCATGTCCAGAAAGTTGTCTTCGGGATATCCTCCTCGGCCACTCGAATCTTGTGATAATCAGTCCTTAGATTGAGCTTCGAAAAATATCTAGATCGTCCCAACTAGTCTAGCATATCATTGATGCTTGGTATGGGGAAGCGATCCTCGATGGTCGCCGAATTTAGGGCTCGATAGTCTGTGAAAATTCACCATGTATCACACTTCTTCTAGGCAAGGAGCACCGGTAAAGAAAATGGGCTAGAGCTATGTCGGATCAGCCCAAACTCCAATATCTCGATGTCTTGCTTCTCAATCTCAATCTTCTGAAAATGTACATAACGGTAAGGGTGAACGTGGAAAATTCGGCTCTCATCGATGAGGGGAATGTTGTAGTCGTACAGTCGTCTCGGTGGCAAGCCTTCTAGTTCGGCTAACTTTTTTTTTAGTTGGTCTAGGATTTCGTGAACCTCATATTGCTGTGGTGTTGAATCTTTGGGCTTGTCGACCTTTTCTCGACCACCACTGCAAATATCTGGATACCCCCTCTCCATAGTCGCTCGATATTTTTTAGTCCGGTCTCCTTGACAACGACATTAGTGTCGGCCTTGAGTACAACTAAGCTCTCCTGATCTGAATTCCATGGTTCCAACTCTTCACTTTTTCGAGGCCCTCCAGCCACTTTACGCCCAGTACTACGTCGGGTTCGACCAATGGTAAGGCGTATAAGTCAGATTTGATGGTGACGCTTTCTAGTTTGATTGGTACCCCTCGGTAGTACTCTGAGCACCTCAAGATCTCTCCATTAGCCAATCGAACATCAAAAGGTTCAACCTTAGGGGTCGGAAGCTTTAATTTGTGGGATAACATGGTGTTTATGAAGATATAAGACGACTTGTTATCCACCAGCACAACGATGCACAGGTCACAGACCCACGCCGATAGTCGCATGGTCTTTGACCCTTTTGTCCTTGCCATAGCATGACATGAGATCTCTAGGTCCTCATCGTGTATCTCAGTATCCGTATGTGGTTCTTCCTCAGTTGGATATTCTTTTTCAGAGTCCTCTACCTAGATTAGAAATTCTTGTTTGCACATGTGACCAGGTGTGAAGTTTTCTTCTCATTTGTAGCATAGACCTTTCTCCTTGAGACTTCTCATCTCTTCGAATGATAGCCTCCTAACCTCAGAAAGTGGTTGAGCACTGGTCGAATGGCTCCCATCAGACCCCCATTGATAGGGGTTGTAGTTGGTACAATTCGTCGTGGTTCCCCTCGTTCGGTCTTATGGCCAGCGACTAGGTGGTCATCCCTCATGAGCGGCCTCCATGGTGTGTCGCATAGTTCTCAGCTTATGCAAACGGACCTCAACAGCGAGGTCGGCCTCCAAGCTCCCCAACAACGTGCCCAGGAGCACACTCTCTAGCCAATCGTGCATGCGACTCGCTAATCACTCGAACTCCTTCTAGTAGTCACAAAGACTTGTCCTTCACATGCGGGATAGAGCCTCGTCATAATCATAGTAGTCAGATTCACCAAATCTTATGATCAATTCCCTCTCAAAATCGACCCATCTGATCGTCTCATCTCGTTTGCGTGGTATATGCGTGAGATCCACTGCCACCACACGTTGGCCTTTCCATCTAGGTCCTACTCAACATATTCACTCTGTGTTCCCTCGAGATGTTGTTTAGGTCAAAATATTGCGTAGCTCGGTTAACCAATCACCAAAATCAGCCCCATGGAAGATGGACATAACCAGTCGAGGCTTCTTAAACCGAGGTCTCTCTCGATGGTTCGTCACATGAACCTGATTATAAACCTCGTCCTCATCTTCTGAATGTGTAGCTCTCCCTGTGGTTGATCGTGATCGACCCTCCCTCCGTGGTCAACGTTTATGGTGGTTCAAGTTGTCATTCATTGAGAGAAACATCAGTTCAAGTCGGGCCATGGCTTGATCGTGGTGGCCATGCCCTTAATCAAGGCGAAGATCGAGACGAGCCTTCCCATCACTCAAGCTTTCTATTTGGGTGTCGAGGCTCCCACACTTCTCATCGATGGCGCCAAACCTCTCGAAGTTGGATCTTGACAAGGTAGATTTATTATTATTGTTTTTTTTTTTGGATTTTTGAGTAAAACTGAAAATGAGAAAACGAGAGTGATACCCGATCGGTACTCTTAATTATAGTACCTGATAAGGATCGTGTATCTGCTACCCGGTCAGCAACATCGAACGCGCCTTGGCCTTTCCGTCATTGGCGATAACAGTGCAAAACGACCAGCAATAGGCTTTCATTTTACACAAGGCGTATTTTAAGATTCGAAAGAACAGTAACACACGAGAAATGGCGATCAATTGATCAGTTTTTGGATTAATACTTTTTAGATTCAAATGAAGTGATAATACACGTACCGGCGACTTAGAGGAGAAAATCCCGGGTCTAGGAGCTGATATTATTTCATCTGTATCTAGCTTTTTCTTAGATAGGTTTAGTCCTTGATTTACTTAAATACGTCCATGCGATCGTCTCTAGGATCGCAACCCAAATCCGTGTAGATCGCGTCCACCGCTTTGCAGGCGCTCTATTTCTCGGGAGTTGCCATTACTGCCCTCGCTGGTCGTACAACCTGGTGTCTCCATGCCTGTCCCTTATCAACCAGTGTGCTCGATGTTCGAAATGTCAATGTCTTGTCGAGCTCGCTGTTGCGTACCTCCACGACTCGAGTTGCCCTCTTGCGTGCCCGATAAGCTCGGCAATAGGCATTCTTGAGTAATCTTTCTTCATTCTCACTACAGCGCTCGCACGCGAGCGAGCTACAACGAGATACCCCCTCAATCAATGGGCTCATTCTTTGGGTGGGCCGGATGTCAAGTGAGGTAGGCGATTCGTCGTTTGGGCGTGAGTTAGTAGTGAATGCACATCTAACCAGGTTGCTTTGCGATTTTAATGTACACGCACACAGGAGACTCGACTCCTAGTTGGCAATAACTTTAAGGTAAGGAGCCAACCCGCGGCTGGGCATGACCCATGATTAGAGGTTGTGCTTGATCTAGGCGCAGGTTACAAATGTCTCCGTGACAGCTGGGAGCTGCTTATGGGCAAGTTGAACCTCGTCTAGTTTCTTTGAGTTTGCGTGTGGTTCAGGGTCCATGTGACTTTGTTTTCCATGCCAATTTTTTGGTATAATCGTTTTACGTCTGTTTTTCCATTCATTTCGTGACCCACAAACCAAATGTTGAACAAAAATATAAAAATAAAATGAAACAATAAATACATTAAAAGTAAGAAAAAACAACTCATCAGAATTAACACTCTAGAGTAAGCTAGCTCATATGAGTCCGATTAATCATACGAAAAATATAAATAATACGTTTAGAAAAAACAAATAATATCCAAATCGCAAATAGTTAATGGTTGAATCCAAGAAGATGCCCGTCACTCACTTTCCGTAAGTGTAAGGCAACCATGAATAGTAACTACTTGCTCACTCAAAAGAATGGAACTCACATCACACCATTATAAAGTAGAACCAAAAATATATATATATTAGTCGGATAGCATGACGCTAGCTTTACCAAATTAAATAATAAACAATTGCATTAATGTATGTTGAGATTTATAATTTTGTAAACAGAACAAAAAAA